TAAATGTAATCGTAAATGAAGAATGAAGTATTTAACATTCTACAAGAAATATGATAACATTCAATAGCCAATATAGTATATCAAAGTTTGAAAATTCTAGACATGAATGAAGAATAAAGTATTCCAAGTACAATAAGAAGCACTATACAGCTCAATGAGGTACAGTAAAATGCCAAAAGTGATAAATATGAAACTTCAAGAAGAAGGAATTGATCAAAATACTATGAGTGCTTATAGCCATTGGAAATACAAATGTTTAAAATTCCAACCCAAAACATGAAACGTGATTCAAATCCATATTACAAAACACTTGAAACAAAAGCCAAATTCTGCAGAAAATTCCTTAAGACTAACGTTATTAATGAATCATTTCAAGAATTAAAGTGCCCAAAGTACAATTTTTCGCCAAAATTTGAAATGGAGTTTTATTTGGTTGACCCTCATTTTCGGATAACGTCACGGATTCCTAACCAGAACAACATCATGTTCACACATGATAATAACTAAAATATTTTATATTATATAATTTTAATTAAATTAATATTTTCTCAAATTTATTAACTGTCTCATAAAAGTAATAATTCTTCGTTTTACTCATAAGAAGGTTACTACAATTTCGCTATTAGCTGTTCATAATAATAAGCAAATATGTATTTTCAATTAATTAATTCAAGAACTTTAATCATAAATAAATAATCTATAATAAGTTTGATTAATTTTTATTTGTTGCAATTAATAGAATAATGGAAAGCAATAAAAGTTGCAAACTCGAATGTAGAGCAATATCGTAAAATAAAGGAAATGCAAATTAATATTAATTTTTCTAAATTACATTATCATCTCTTTTACCAATAAATTTAATAACATTCAATAAAAATCACTTATTAACATCTATAAAAAATCTCTGTGAATAAAAAAAACCCTTTTTATTTGTAAAAATGATTAATAACTAACACACACAGAAATTTTTTTACGGTTAAATTTGATTTCTTCATTTGCATATTCATAATCATAGCTGTTATAATTAATAAAGTCTCGTGTTTACATCCTTAAAAAATTCCCCGAGGTGTTATTATGTTCATTAAGGAGTCCATCTCATCATAAATATAATAATTACAAATCTTTAAATTAAAATACTTTAGAAGACCTCTCGGAATCCCTTTGTCAAGAAAGTTATTATTTTACTGATGAAAACGCTTTGGGCTGTAAATAAGAGGATTTTCTCTCTTTAAAAAGGAAAAAAAAAAGAGATTTATATTGAAGATTTGTTGCCTGGAAGCGCTGGAAGTCTCAAAGTTTCAGATATCAATTTAATCATGGATAATTGATTCTTTTCTGTAGTTATTATCGTCATTCTTTGTGACAATAAAGCGTAAATTAATCGTCGGCCGAGATTTATAGCGGAAAAAGAATACAGTCGAGAAGTTCTCTAATAAGTCAAAGAAACCGTCTATTCTTTTTAAATTAATGAGTGTTACAATATATAAACTGTGATTTTAACTTAAGTAGTTAATTGGAATGGGGCGTTTGCAATTAATTATTCAATTTTTGGTTTCTAAATTAGTGTTTCTTAATGACTTTTTACCCATTAAATATATGGGGATTGTTTTGGGGAGCTGGGTCCTTGACCACTTTGAATTTTGGACATTTTCACTGAAATCTGTTTTTTTTTTTTTTTTTTTAAATAATTTTCACGAATCTTCATTTGCAAAATAATTGAGTAATTATTAAATAAAAGATTAATAATTTAATATTTGTCGGAATAAAAGAATTAAATAAAAGGTTAATTAAAACAAAAGGTTGAAACAAAAGATTTAAGTGAAATATTAGTTAAAACAAAAAAATTAGTAAGATGTTAGTTAAAACAAAGAATTTAAACAAAATAATAGTTAAAACAAAGAATTTATACAAAAGAATATTTAAAACAAAATATTTAGTAAGACGTTAGTTAAAACAAAGAATTTAAACAAAAGAATAGTTAAAACAAAAGATCTAGTAAGATGTTAGTTAAAATAAAGAATTTAAACAAAATAATAGTTAAAACAAAGAATTTAAACAAAATAATTGTTAAAACAAACGATACAAGTTAAAGATTTGTTAAAAACATTTAACACAAAATATTAGTGAAAAGAAAAGTTTCAAATAAATATTAGTTAAAAGAAAAAAATTTACGTAAAATATTAGTTAAAACAAAAGATTAAAGTAAAAGATTTAAAAAAAAAGATTTAAGTAGAAGATTGGTTAAAAATATTTAAGAAAAATATTAGTTAAAATCAACGATTTAAGTAAAATATTAGTTTAAAAAAAAAAGTAAAATATTAGTTAAAACAAAAGCTTTAAGTAAAAGATTTAAAATAAAAGATTTAAACACAAGATTAGTTAAAACAAAAGCTAAAGTAAAAGATTTAAAAGAAAAGATTTAAGTAGAACATTGGTTAAAAATATTCAACACAAAAGATTAGTGAAAAGAAAAGTTTTAAGTAAAAGATTAGTTAAAAGAAAAAGTTTAAGAAAATATTAGTTAAAACAAAAGCTTTAAGTAAAAGATTTAAAATAAAAGATTTAAACACAAGATTAGTTAAAAAAAAGATTAAAAGAAAAGATTTAAGTAGAAGATTGGTTAAAAAGATTTAAGAAAAAGATTAGTTAAAATCAAAGATTTAAGTAAAATATTAGTTAAAAGAAAAAATTTAAGTAAAATATTAGTTAAAAGAAAAAATTTAAGTAAAATATTAGTTAAAACAAAAGCTTTAAGTAAAAGATTTAAAATAAAAGATTTAAACATAAGATTAGTTAAAAAAAAAGATTAAAGTAAAAGATTTAAAAGAAAAGTTTTAAGTAGAAGATTGGTTAAAAAGATTTAAGAAAAAGATTAGTTAAAATCAAAGATTTAAGTAAAATATTAGTTAAAAGAAAAAATTTAAGTAAAATATTAGTTAAAACAAAAGCTTTAAGTAAAAGATTTAAACACAAGATTAGTTAAAAAAAAAAGATTAAAGTAAAAGATTTAAAAGAAAATGTTTAAGTAGAAGATTGGTTAAAAATATTTAAGAAAAAGATTAGTTAAAATCAAAGATTTAAGTAAAATATTAGTTAAAAGAAAAAATTTAAGTAAAATATTAGTTAAAACAAAAGCTTTAAGTAAAAGATTTAAAATAAAAGATTTAAACACAAGATTAATTAAAACAAAAGATTAAAGAAAATATTTAAAAGAAAAGATTTAAGTAGAAGATTGGTTAAAAATATTTAACGCAAAAGATTAGTGAAAAGAAAAGTTTTAAGTAAAAGATTAGTTAAAAGAAAAAGTTTAAGAAAATGTTAGTTAAAACAAAAGCTTTAAGTAAAAGATTTAAAATAAAAGATTTAAACACAAGATTAGTTAAAAAAAAAAGATTAAGTAAAATATTACTTAAAACAAAAGATTTGAGTACAATATTTAAGTAAAAGATTAGTTAAAAGAAAAGATTTAAGTAAGATATTACTTAAAACAAAAGATTTGAGTAAAAGATTTAAGTAAAAGATTAGTTAAAAGAAAAGATTTAAGTAAAATATCACTTAAAACAAAAGATTTGAGTACAATATTTAAGTAAAAGATTAGTTAAAAGAAAAGATTTAAGTAAGATATTACTTAAAACAAAAGATTTGAGTAAAAGATTTAAGTAAAAGATTAGTTAAAAAGAAAAAGATTTAAGTAAAATATTACTTAAAACAAAAGATTTGAGTACAATATTTAAGTAAAAGATTAGTTAAAAGAAAAGATTTAAGTAAGATATTACTTAAAACAAAAGATTTGAGTAAAAGATTTAAGTAAAAGATTTGTTAAAAGAAAAGATTTAAGTAAAATATTACTTAAAACAAAAGATTTGAGTACAATATTTATGTAAAAGATTAGTTAAAAGAAAAGATTTAAGTAAGATATTACTTAAAACAAAAGATTTGAGTAAAAGATTAAAGTAAAAGATTTAAAAGAAAAGATTTGAGTAAAAGATTTAAGTAAAAGATTAGTTAAAAGAAAAGATTTAAGTAAGATATTACTTAAAACAAAAGATTTGAGTAAAAGATTTAAGTAAAAGATTAGTTAAAAGAAAAGATTTAAGTAAAAGATTAGTTAAAAGAAAAGATTTAAGTAAAATATTACTTAAAAAAAAGATCTGAGTAAAAGATTTAAGTAAAATATTAGTAAAAAAAAAAGATTTAAGTAAAATATTTGGGTTTGTATGTTTGTAGTGGTTCGGAATCCACTTTATACCGTAGATCCCGGTCCTAATAGGATCGTAGAGCGTTGCGGGGTCATTGTTACTCCGCGTTCGTGACTTATCTTCAAGTTACACGCCCCCCCCGGGTAATGCAAAGTGAGTAACGTCTGTGCAGCGCTTGCCTTAAGGCATCCAAGACGGAGCTGTCTAAGTGTTTGTCAGCTGCATTAGAACATAAAAATATATATATTCTAAATAGGAACGCGATGATTTTTTTTGGTCAACAAGAATGTACTTTTAAATTGTCATTAGAGAACGAATTTGTAAATGTTTACAATTAAATATAAACATATTTTTTAACGAATTAATTCCCTGCTATACTTTAATATATTTCTGCTATATTACATTCCAGCAGATACGACTAGGATTGCCCGGCTATAGATAATAAATAATTTTAAATTTGCCCATATTTAATGACGAAAAAATTATCGATGCATACTTGAAATTCTAAATGAATCACTTTAAACTCGTAAAATCATATAATCAATTTTATATATGAATTAACAATAATTAATTAATTATAATTAACTTTTTCTCATCTTTTAAACCTATTAAGAATATAATATTGATTGATTGTAGAGTTAATTAAAAACTAATGCAATCAATGTAATAAAATATTTTACATAATATTAATAACTTAATTAATGATACCACCAGATGGCGGCAGTCATTTTTTCATACATAGTGCTAGTATAAAATTAAATTATTATATTTATTTCGCTTAAGTTATTAAGAAAAACGGCCAACGGCCGTACCATGCTGAATATACCGGTTCCGAAGTCAAGCATCATTGGGCGCGGTCAGTACTTGGGTGGGTGACCACCTGGGAACACCGCGTGCCGTTGGCAAATTTGGGACCTGAATGGCCGAGTGTCTAGCGCTCTAGCGCTCGGTGCCACAGGTTTCGGGTTCGAATCCCGGCGGTGCCATGGATGTTTGTCGTGGTTCGGAATCCACTTTAAGCTGTAGGTCCCGGTCTCCTATGACTGTAAGAGCGTCACGGAGCAAAAGTCAGGCTTCTACGTACGGGTGCTCCATCACAACAGAAGCTGCTTCCTTCCCCTTCAATCATGAGTACGTATGGGCTCGTGAGCTTGGCCAGCCAAGTGGGATAAGAAACAAACAACAAACAAACAAAACAGAAAAACACTGCTATTTACATATATAGGCGTTATACCAATTCTAATATGCGAAATTTAAAAAAATTTTGAAATGACAAATTAAAAGAACTATTTTTCTATATAAATGTTTGGTTTAAGTGTTTATTTTATTCATGCTTGTAAACGATAAGAAATACATTATGGAGATTTCCTTTTTTAATAAAAAATTTTTACTATATATTTTGAATGCATCTGATAGTGTAAAAGTTGTTTTTCGTAGTAGAGATAAAATTAAAGTGAATGAATATATAAATATATGTAAAAGAATGAATATATATAAAAAAAATGAATGAATAAAATTAATATATAAAAGAATATAAAATAAATGTAAGTTCATGAATATATTTCATTTTTAAAACAATAAGAAATATAAAATAAATGTGAAAAAAACTTCAGCAAATTATTATTTTTTAAATATTTAAGTCTACAGAAAGCTTTAAAAAATATTTTTTATGTATAGACTGCGACTGAAATTCTTATTTAAAGTAAACAAGTAAACAGTTCATTTTTAGAAATGTGCAGACAAATATCCTTATTAAAAAACACTCGCCAATCAAAGAAAAAAAAAAAAAAATCCAAGAACTTTTTTTCTATTTTAAGATGTTTTTCTGTATGCTTGGAAGGTTCATTTCAATTATCCTGTTGCCTTTTTCCTATCAGCCACTACTTTTCTGCAAACTGCTTGACTTTATAACGCTAAAACCCAGTGCAATAAAATGAAAGGCGGATATAAAAAAATAAAAACTCATAAACATTTCAATTTTTCAACATATGATTCCAACAATTGATTAAAGTATTTTCTTTCCTCATTGTTAATAGAAAAGTTCGTATTTTTAAATCTTTTGTCTACAAAAATTGCCCTTATGTGATGTTTTTTCAGTTTTTTATGGTTTGACAAACAGTGACCTCCCATACAATTTACTCACCAAAAATTCCTTGGTACAGTTATCCTTTTAAAATAGATATTGTGGAAAATGCTCACTTTTATCCAAGATTTTCATGGAAAAATTAAAGCGTCAACCTTCAAACTCATATTAACTCTTTAAATTTTCTCGACATAATTGGTATTAAAGTTTCGTAATTAAGGCCTTTCTTGTTTCTAAGGAACTTTAAGAAACTTCTTTAATTACAGCATGGCGCATCCTTTTCTTTGGAGTTCATTACAGCTTCTAGGTTATGGTCTTGCTCCAATTTTCTTATGTCAAGGCCAACAAGGAACATAATTTTGATTCTGACAGATGAGAAATTTTTTGTTCCTGGATACTAAAAAGAAGGCTCATTTTTTGCAATTGTTTTGACAAACTGCTTTTTGAGGCTGAATTTTATATGCAGTGGTGGAAGTAATATATTTTAAAAATTCAATAAACTCGCATGTGTAATGGTTGCTTATAATATAGGCACAACTGAAGGTTTTTTTTCTTTGTTTATGTTCCCTTATTTCTTCTAAACCAGGGGTCTCCAAACTTTCCAGACTTAGGGCCATACTGTTTACTCCAGTAAGTACCAAGGGCCAAAAGCGTTTTAATTTTCTGCCATTATCTATAATTTCTAGACTAGTTTCCAAATACGCGCTCTGAGCGAGCATACGCTTGGTAAATTCGCTGGTTCAATTACTACAATTCCTATTGTGTGTATTGATACGACCGTGACACTTGACGACATCTAGTGGTTAAAAGCGGAAATAGGTAGGTATAACTACCGAGGGTAACCGCGGGATGTTCACTAGTTTATTATGTTAGTGGGATTCATTTCAATTATCTGTTAGTTGTTATGCTTAAGTTAAATTTTCTGCGTATTATGCTTGTCATTAAGCTTTACCAAGCAATTAAATAAAACCGAGTTATTAACATTCTGTGTTTTTTTATTCAACCTATTACATCAACAATAAGCTATTCGCTGTCGCGGGCTGGATTGATGACACTGGCGGGCCGGATTTGGCCCGCGGGTCGTAGTTTGGAGACCCCTGTTCTAAACAAACATAGCATACTTTGTTTAGAACTCCAACTTTCGTTGGTCCTCACGTTTTAGCCCTAAGTATGCAGAATACATCTTTTTGACAAATTTTGTTATGTTCCTTTGGTGTATCTTCGAAGAAAACCATAGGTTGTTCAAGATCGTAGAAACAACAGGAGGGTTTGTGCGTTTGTTTTTCTTCCCTTAAATTTCCTGCACAAACAAAACATACCTTGTTTTTAACCCTAACTTTCATACGTTCTAAAATTTTACCCTAGGTAGGCAAAGTATACCATTCTTACAAATTTTGTTATGCGCTTTTGATGTATCTTGATAGAAAATTAGGATGTTCCATATGATAGGAACACCTGAAGTTTTTTTTTTATTTCACTTCGCTTAAATCTTCTAAACAAACATAATATAATTTGTTTGGTGCCTAACTTTCACTGGCCCTCAAGCTTACGTTAGCTTTTTACCTTTTAATTTATCATCAAGTAGTCAAAGTACACTTTTCACTTTTCTTTTTTATTTCGTTGTATTCTTTTGGTGTTTCCCCGCAGCAAACTCGACATAAATACAGCAATCGGGACAGCTAAGCCGCCAGCAGCCTTCATTTTACTGAGAGCAAATCAAACAAAAACGAAAAAATACGAGGGGAAGACAATAACTATTCATAAACTGGTCTATAGCCATCTGGAAAATTTATATTCCTTTAAGTTACATGTAGATACATAGGTCCTAAAGCAGAGATGCGCAAACTACGGCCCGCGGGCCAACTCCGTCCCGCCGGAAGGTTCTATCCAGCCCGCGGATAGAATTTTAATTTGTGGGTCCGAGACAAATTAAAAGAAATATCTATTTATATATTATACATATCTCATTTTCTACTATGATTAAATAATATTTTTTTATTAAAAAAAATTTATTATTTTTGTCTCATTTCCCGAGGTTAAATTCAATACCCCTAGTAAATGAAGAGAAACTCTAGAATTATGATGATGGCTTGAAACAGCATTTTGAGTTCGAACGCAGATTTCAAGATTTCAGTGCCGTTCAAACATAATTGGATATTTTTACCATGGCTTTCAACGTAAATTGTGAAGCAGTGAGGTCAGATTTGCAGGTTGAATTAATTGAGTTGCAAATTTAACAATCATCTCAAGTAGTTGTTCCTAAATATGCCAAAGTTAGAGTTTTACAAATCATTATCGAAAGTAAGTTTCCCAAATTTAATATCTCACTCATAGAAATTCAGTGCTATGTTTGCTTCATCTTATATATGTGAACAAGGGTTTTCAACTATAAACCTTAGAAAGACTTATTTCAGAAGTAGACTGACAGATGAGCATTGAGCTTCGTTCCTTAGAATCAGTACATCTCACTTTGAACCTCAAAATAAGGAACTTTTAAAAATGAAATCACAATTTCATTCATCTCATTAACATATTTAAATTGTAATACTTGTATATTGTTTTTAAAATTTTAGAAAAATATATCTTGGCCCGCCAAACTTTTTTTTTTTCCATTTTTGGCCCGCGACTGAAAAGGTTTGCCCATCCCTGTCATAAAGACATTAGCAACAACGTTAAACACTTGTAAGAATTTCTTATTTATGCAAATTGTATGAAACCTTAGTGGTTTTTTTTTAAACTTTTTAATTATATATGTATGTACAGGATAAATATGCTTTCTGTGTAAAAACTGCTCTTCCTGTCATGATTTAATGGTCAATTTTGAGTTTCGTTTGGTCAAAAACGTTACGAAGAACTCAAATCATGAAAAAAATTCTTTCATGATTGATTTGTGAGATTATTAAAATCAATTAAATATTTCTTATTTATAACGAAAGTGATCAAATCCATAGAAATTTTTTTTTATTAATTAATTCCATAAACGGCATTAAAAATCAAAATAATGTGGAAATTTTTATTAATAGAACTTTTTAAATAAAATTAAAAAAAACAATTAAAAATTTCTAACAAAAGAATTGAGATATAACATTTATTGATGTATTGTTCTGGTTTGCAATATTTTTTAAGAATAAAAACAGAAAAAGATAAATGTTTCTTTAGCTAGCTTCAATATTAAAAAAATATTATAATAAAATAAGCATGAGTTATTACTAATTTTCTAACAACTCTTTTTTTTTACTCTCCATACCTCCATAAAATTAAGCTCATATTGTTGAATATGTCAAAAGAGAATTTCGACAAGAACTAATTTATGTAAATTCAAGCTCATTTCCAACACGTGTAGGAAAAAAAAGACTCATAATAATTCTCAGACAAGTAGGGAGGGAAAAGAACAAAAGTTGAGTGGCAGCGAACACTTAAAACGAAAATTTCTCAAGAATTTTAGGCACTATAAGCGTCAAAAAATCAAACTCAAAAAAAGATAATTTGTAATTTTCAAACATCTGTTGAATAAATTAGAGTGAATGGAAGATTCTCTCCTTCATATCTAAGAAAATAATCTTAACAGATATGTCATTTTTGAATTCGAATTACATCGGTATTAAACGAGTGCATATTTTCTCTTTTAATTCTCAAAGTTTAATACTTTTCATTTGTTGAAATCTATGTTTTTTTTTTATTTTTCACGCCTTATTTGTGTATTTCAAAATGAAGTATGCATTTATTGTAACATAAATGCGTGTTTTTTTCCTCACTTATACTCAGGTTTGCTTGTAAAAATACACACACCATACGTATAATTTACTTTAGATAAAAAA